CAGTAACACGCCTCTCCCGCGTTTAGTGACTGCATAGATATATACAACACATGTTATACACAACAAAACATATGTGTTGTATATATATCTATGCAGTCACTAAACGCGGGAGAGGCGTGTTACTGGGTGATATGGCGCTAGGATTACCAGCCCTCCTAGAAGTACTCGATTTTTATCGCTTTATATCTCGGCATAGGAACATCGTATAGAGACAAGCGGTTGATCTTATATTGGCTAGCTATGACCCCTGCATAATATTGCGGTAGAGAAGTATCAAAATAAGGTAGGTAAACTTTATTAATTTTGCTGAAACGGCACCATGGTTTTCCTATTTCAGCGTTGTACGCTCTGGGGTTAATGGGCTCTTGATTATATCTACAAATATGGGTGGATTTAACAAATATGGATAAGCCTATGTTGGTGTCCGACACACGGGCTATACACTGAGATCGGTGGCGTGGGCTTGGTGATCAGCTCAACCGCGTCAGAAAATCGGCCTCTCCTCTCTTATAATATAGAAATGTAAACTCTCCACAAAAAGGACACAAATGAGTGAGTGAGAAGAAGTCAGTTTTTAATTGAGCAACCATCGACGTACATTATAGAACGAAGAGTAATATTGGGAGACTCCCATTATATATCTTGATAATTATATGTGTAATTTTTTATGTGGAAAATAATAAACATATTGATATATAAATTATAAATAATTATAAACCAAAATGAATCACAATTTGTGACGGGTCAGATGGCGCACTCACCCGCTTTTGATGTTTCTTAGCAATAAATCATTATATCATTATATAACTTATATAATAATATATAAATCAATATATGTCATAGCAGAAATTTGCATAAAGATATTGTCAATGAAATCTGTAAAACGAACCAGACGAGTGTGCACCCACAGACGTTTGTTATCTGCGTGTCTATATAATAATGCTATAATATTGCCAACCCTACGCTAATTGCATAATTTTTTTTTAAAATATCAAAACCCTAGCCCTTATTCATTCACATACCAAAATGAGCAAAATCCGTTGAACCTGAACTGACTAATGGGCAATTCCCATTTTTGCCAAAAATTGCCGTGCTCGAAAGTACGTCGAACTGGCGTGCTCCAAAATAGGACGTCTTAATATGGGAGCATAGCAGTAACACCTATACCCAATTTCAAATATGTGGGTCAAACGGTTCCTGAGTTATCGTTGACCGTAGCCAAATGTTGACGGACGGACGGGTACGGACCGGACACGGACCGACGACCCATGGCAATAGCTCAGCTTGACGATGTCAAGGTGAGCTAATAAAAACCTTGCAACCTGATTTCAAGAATTTTTGATGTACGTGTGTTTGTTCGTACACGAGTCAAGCAAAAACAGCATAATAACCATGTAGACCCACAAAGGCATTTGCATCAACAGTAACACATATTTAGGATGAGTAAATGCCGGTGTTTGTGTATTCTGTATTATGATCTTGACTATTTCAAAATAGTAAAGTGATAATGCAAAAATTATGCAACACATATGATGGATAAAATATTGCCAGTTTTCAAAAAGTGAGCCGTACGCAAGCACGCACGCGCAAATACGCGCACGCACGCACGTATGTACAAACAAACACAAGTAAATAACAATAATAGCAGACAGAAACCTTCTAGCAGTTATACACACTTTTTTTTACCCTTTTCACTTTTTTATTTTCAATATTTTTATACATACTAGTTTAGTTCACCCGCCCTACACACCGGGTCAGAACGACAGAGGACTATGAAAACGCCAACAAAAACTAGAGAAAGGGCCAGTTGTCGCCACTACATGTATGCCCCCGGAGTATTGAGATGCCAGAATATCTCTGTAAGTGAGTCGTAGCAAGGTAGGATAAGTTAAATAAGTACAAAGACAACGGATTTGTCTACACACTCATCTGCCTCGAGATGTGGCAAGTATATGTTAAAATTGGTTGCCTTAGGGGTTTTTTACGTACACACTCTCCCC